AGTGAGTCATGGTGTGATTTTTATACATTCACAGCCTGACATCCGCCATGTTGCCAGCTGGACGACTCGGAAGTGACTCCCCTCCAAAGTCCGTATCCCAGATCAAAGACTATTGCGCTAAGCCAATGTCGACAACAACTCTTATAAATTTGGGGGAACTTGTCCAACCATGGGGGAGCGTCTCGGTGACTAACCCGAGATATTGATGCTACCGTTAACACGGGACATCGACCAGGGTTGACCTGTCCATATCGCTTTCCCAACCGGACAGGTTGCCCTTGGACACACCTTAACCTACTCACTCTAACTTTCAAAGTTTTCGCTCAGGTGCGCATACAGTCTTATAGACTACACCAATACAGAGGATTCGAGAGAGGAGCGATAAAACCAAAGTGCTCCAGCCAGAACCATGTTTCAGCCATAGCACTCTACAGTAGATTGAAAATCTTAAAAAAGCACTGAGTTGATCGAGACCAAAGTCTACAGGACACCACATCGAACCTAACTCGCACTGCGCTAACGCCCCGCTACTATACTAGAATATATAAAGGAAGGCCTTAGCCGGACCAATGGTTCGTAGACTCGGAGTCAAATTCTTGGGTCCTAAGCCCCCTATGCCTAGGTGGCGACTCTAAACCCCTTTTTCTCCTACTTGGTTGCTTAGGCGGCCAAAGTAGTGATGATGTGGCAAGCGGTGCAAAAATGCGGGCACTGCAGCTGGCGACTCCACTGGGGAATAGAAGCCAAAAACATAGATTTTAGGCTTCTAAATGGCTTGACTTGAAACCAACAATCCTATGTAAATTGTTTCCTTTGTGATAATGTTAATATATAGAAACTTAGGGTTCACTTATTTTCAATAAGCACACACCACCTCACTACACCTAAGCATTGCATGCATTTGCATCTTGCATATCATGGATTGTCCCCAAATAGGAAAACCCGGTGGGAAGTATTGGTTGGTACGGTCCAGGGGGCCGAGTCATACCATCCCCAAAAACCCACCACCTGCTGTCAAGTACTCCTCTTAGGAGGGTATACCAAAGTGGGGGTGCATAATAACGCTTGACCAGTCCGACGTCCTAGGGATGAAGGTCTGGGAGGTTTTTTTTAAGCCCTCATTGCAGTGGAAACCTTTAATAACTCATAATTGAGACTTTCATCTCCCTTTTCCATAATAGAGCTATGCCTCCTTTCCTGCCTTCAGCATCTACAAAAAATCCCTGAACCAAGCCAGTACCTACTTTACTAGTCAATGACAGATGCGCTGACCAGACTGCGCTACACCTTGTCTTACCCACTCACTAGCTCTTCGTCGTTCGCCTCACCTCACTGCCGATCGCCGCGCTCCTTATCTACGCTAAATGTCCCTACCCTACTTTCTTTTTCGCGAAGAGCGACCGATCGAACCAACGCCTTCCTTATCAAACATACTCTCAAGACTCTAGCGGGCAGCAGCCGTACATGATACCCGAAAGTTTTCACCCGCCTGCGGCGAAGGCCTGGTCAATCGTATACGATCATCAAAATCGGAGTCGCTAACACCCATTTTTAGTTGCCTCGTCCTTAGCTTAGAGTCAAGCTGGATCTTCATTTTACGAGAAATGAAATCTGCCTGCTGATTGTTCAAGTGGGCAGCGAGCGAAGGGAAAGGGAAGAAGTCAGTGCTTTTCCTGTAAACGACTCAGCGCTTTGAAAGCCTGAACGTGGGTAGCATTGGATTAGTGAGCGGTGTGACTTTCTTCTTAGATAGAAAAGCTATTCCATTTACGTTGCTCTTGTTCACAAATCAATTTCTAGTGGACTTGGCTAGTGAAGCACAACCATTCATCTTTCCATAGATAGTGCTACCCTAGAGTAAGATGAGCGACCCCAGTGGCAACGTTAGTCCCAAGGGTTTACTCCCTTCACTAGTCAACGAAGTGCATCTACGGATGTAGGCATATTTTAGCTTGATCATTTGCTCTCACTAGACCGCCCTAGAGTACGATACTGGTTCGTCATAGGTCCGAAGGGCTGTCTCTTGTGTGCGATGGTTGGGCATGAATGGAGCTTGCTCGGTAGAAAGGAGAGTAACCTTTCGTGGAGTAGAGATTGAGCATAGAAATACCTGTGGATAAATTCTTTATTACATAAATAAAGTTACCGGACTGACCGAAATGACTGGAATGACTAAACCTCTCAAGTTACGCTTCCTATAGACATCCGTCTTCCTCTTATTTTTTTGCGCTAGGAGCAGTATGCAGTTAAGGATATCAGCTAGTTGGTTGTTTGGCTCCTCGATCCGGACTGGAATATATGGCTCTTCGATTAGGACTTTCAGTAGCTTTTTGGGACCAAAGAGCAGGGGTAAAGACTGCCCAATGGGCTCATTGCTAGTGAATGTAGGAAGGAATGCTAGTTTGAGTTTGGTTGGTGGAGATGGATCCCGGGGAACTTATTAACATTAATCCCATCCCTGGAACTCAATCTGAGTGGTTCCCCTCAATAAGGACGAAAAGTAGCATCAGCGGATGAAAGAGTGACTCTTGCGGGGACAGGGATAAATGTCTAAGAAGATGCCATAGAAGCAGAACCGGTCTTAGATGGTTGACGGATAGGTTTTTGCTTTTTGCCTGGCTGGGCATAGTCAGAGCTAGCAATAACTGTCATACTACTTCCCTCAGAGAAGGAAATTGGCTTATCGGATGCTCTTGTTCCAGCAATGTCCAATTCTGCCCTCAACCCAGAAAGTCTTATTGCAGCGCCATTCTATTCCGTAAGTTCTTCCATCCACCTCCGACTGAGGAATCAAGCACCTTCGAACCGCAAGGGTAGGGATATTCTTCGAATCTTGAAAGAATGAATAAAGAAAGAAGAGTTTTTGCTTCCTGCTGCTCTCATTGCTGCTTGAAACCGAAGTCTTACTCTTACAGGCGGGGAGAGGGAAGAATTTCGTTCTAGTGGCCCATCTGGCTTTTTGCCCCTGATTTTGCTCGTCCATGATTCTGACTTGGAGTCTAGTCCGGTAGGGATGACGAGGACGAGGATCCTTCGGAGCTATGTTTAGTGGTGAATCAGAGCTGGTAGGAAGCCCTCGTAAGGGGAGATATATGGCTAAAGAATCAACATCACAACGGGGCAGGGAGGGGGATTGATAGTGTCAATATAGGGCACATCCGCTATCTGTCCTAAAAAGGGCTATAGAAGGCCACTCTTTAGGCATTAAAACACCAGTTTCATGGGGATCAGCTATCACCCTATGTCCTATAAAATCCCATTGGTCTCTGAAGTTAGCTCTAAGATAAGAGAGAAAGTTCTGCTACGCACCTCGCCGGCGGATCTAATTTCTCCCCCTACTGTCGGCAAACCTTGGATGAGGGGTGCTCCTTGAGAGCTATCGGTATACTCTGCCAAGGGCATTCTACTTAAAAGCATAATCTTTCGTCTCCCCGGTCGAAACGAGCATTTATGAACAGGAAGATGCCTTCTATGATGGAGAGGGTATACTACGATTGCATCTATTCACCGAGAGTCCCAATCTATAGAGAGCGGAGCTACTCCTTCTTTAAGAAAAAGAGGTTCCCGAAACCAGGATTTTGAAGCTGAGACATTACATTAGCGGGCGGGCCCGAGACCCTTTGCTTGTAAGGACCTTGCCTTCTTTGGTTTGAAAGCTGTGCCTAGGCTTTCTGCCTTTCCTTTTGATTTTGAACCAGACCCGAGCCCTAGAGTAGAGCTTTGCCTGAGCTGAGCCTTTTGCCTTTAGCCTTTGGCACCTCTGCCTGGACCAATCTCGTCTGGAGCAACCAAAACCAACTCTGTCTGCTCTGCTCGCCTTAAACCAACAAGTCCTATTGCTTCCAATAGCTAGGCAGCTGAGACTGTTCCAATTTCCTACTGAGATAGGCAAGCAACGACTTTTGGTCGACTTAAGCCAACTAGACTTTTTGCTTCGTCTTATGCTTTTGCTATCTGTCTTTCCTCTTTCTGACTTCCGAGTCACTCGCTAGTGTTTTCGCTTTATCCGTGGTGGTCTTTCTCTATTGGTCTTGCCTTATTGCTGCTTGCTGACTTATTGCATTTTTATGTGATAAGGAAAGACGTTGTGCTCGGGCCTCTCTTGGGAGAGTCTCTTCTCTCCACTAGCTTGATGGCACCCAGGGAATTCCCAAGATGTGTTGTTCCTTTATTCATAAAAAAGAAGAAAGAAAGTCTCCTCCATGGACATACTTTTTGAAAAGAGGGAAAGAAAAGAGAAACTAGCTAACGAAGGCGATTGAGAATGCTTTAAGGGATCAACCACACCACTCATAGAAAGATTTCTATTCGGGTAGAGCTCATGGCTAGATCGATCGGTTGAAGAACGCAGCGGGAAATTCAATTGCAGCCCTGCTTGATCGCTAACAGGTCCTCGACCAGATTCCTATCAAAGAAAAGCATTTGACTAGCCAGACGACGAAAGGAACTTCTCTTTCCTTTCTATCAGCTCAGGGGAGATCATCCAATTTCGACTTGACATGTTCATGGGGATGTTCCTTTCTTGACCCGCTGAAAAGAAGGCTGAGGGAGTAAAAGAGAGTAATGACATCGTACCGTACCCTATAAAGGAGAATGTGATTAGCTTGCTTGAACGAATCCGCTCTTTTCAAGCTTGAGTGGGTACGTATTGTGACAGCCACCCAAAATGAAGATATATTTTATGTTCCGGGGATGAAAGAGCAAGAAGCTCAAACGCCTGATAATAGAATGGTATCGAGATCAAGCTTGCATTTAGGAGTTCTCTTTCCTCTTTTCTAGTGCTAAGTGCTTTGATGTCGGTGCAGCCAAACCAATATGAGTTTCATTTTCCCCGTGTTTTGAGATGAAACCCGAAATCCATTCGGAGAAGTCAATTTCAATCTTAACACTCCCAATTCAAAGTGTTAAGATGGCATTTAGTAGGAATCTCTTATTATAGAAGAAGCTGTTCCCAAGTCTTTGCTGTTGATGCTACATAAGCAGTCTTGGTGCTTGGGGCGTTAGGAGTAAAGGCATGGCTTCCGGCGGATGGGATTGAGCTCATTGAATCGACTCTTACTGCTCGAGTAGACGTTCTTCTTGGTGAGTGAATCATCTTCATCCTATAAGAAGATGGCATCAAATGCAAGAGGGAATCCCACTGTGAGGGAGATTGGTCCTAGCTACTTCTTTCATACCCGGAAAGAAAAGATTGCCAAATCGTTCTCTATCGAATCGTAGTCTAGAGCCAAATGAAAAGAATTCCACTTGAGCAAGAAGACGACTCTAAGTATGCTGACCCCGGACTGACTATAGCACCAACAGCTAGCTCGCTGTCACTTGGTATCGGTCCTAATTTGCCCTTCGACGGGAACTCCTACTACTTCTACTTAGTCTACCTACGTCATTCTTTCTTTAATAAGTCAATTTCCCACGGTCGAGCCTAGTAGAGCTCCTAGTCCAACACTAGCAAACATGCTACCGTTAACCACCTAGCTACCACAGAAAGGAAGGGAAACCGAACCACAGAGAAAGTCTGTCACGCGACGAACTGGTAAATCAAAATCACGAGCTGGACTCGGTTCTTATGCTGAAATGCCTTGAACCGCCCGATCAATAGGTGCGGTCGGGATCTTCCTAAAATTCGAGAAAGTCGAAAACTACATCGGCACATGAGGCTGGGCCGGATCCCTATGGTTAGTGTCACAGGCAAGCAAGGCGGGATCTTTCGGACGGAAGTCACTCTAGTAGAGTAGTGAATTAGGTCAAGATCTCCACAGGAAACTCAAAAGTAGAAAAGAACATCTATGAATGGCTTCGCTCCTAGGGCAAAGGCAGAGGTTCTTCGTTCTTCCCGTTGTCGCTGGAGATTGCACTTAGTGCTAGGCTTCCGCTGTCGGTCCGGAAAAAAACGATGAAACTGAACGTACTTTGGTTAGTTATTCTGCTTGTATCGATTTCCGTCTGTCTCTCTGTCCCTGATCCTTTCAAGCATAGATAGATAGTGGAAATTGCGTAAGAGAAGAGAGAAAGGGCCGGTTTACAATTCGCCGGCCTTTAGTGAAAGAAGGACCAACGATGATCCTATCCTAACGAAGAAGGAGGAGTAGGAGCTAGCTTTCATTGAAGTAGGGGCGGAATCGAATGATTACGAGATAGACAATGAGAAAGAGCCAAGAGGGGAGAGCACTTAGACAATTCACTTTGAGTACTGGGAAGTCTGCTGGTAGGAATTCCTCAGGGCGTATTACGGTTTTTCACCGAGGGGGTGGATCGAAACGATTGCAGCGAAGAATTGATCTGAAACGAAGCACTTCGTCTATGGGCATTGTAGAAAGAATCGAATATGACCCTAATCGTTCTTCTCGGATGATCAAGTCTTACCGGGTACTCCGCCTCCGAACCTACTTGTACACACATCGTACTCTGAGATTCTGCATCTATTTCTTGCTTCTGAAGAAGAGCTTTCGCTTTCTTCTTTCATTTTTTTATATTAGATATATTTTTACCGATTTATCGATTTTTTTACTTCATTTATTTGATTTGTGGAATGCGGAGGGTCCTACTTTCGGGAACCAAATGGTTCCATCTGAAGGATCTCGCGGCTCGGACGTAGAAGATTCCTCCTTATCAGGCGCTGCAAAACCCCACTCTGGTGTCGATAAAGCCTCTGGCTCCGGAGAAAAATCAGCTTCTGACGCACTTTTTCTAGCCAAGGGGAAACGACCTTTAGAGGTAAGCCAAGATGCAGTTTGGGAGGATGTCGATCGGGAAAAGCGACAGAAAAAGATTTCAGAAGATTCTGACAGGACAAGTGATTGGGTTACTGACCGTGAAAACAAATTAGGAGATCTAATTAATAATTTGAGGAAAGAAGAGAACATGCGCCCTCTCGCTCCTTTCCGGCTCCAAGAAGTGGTGGAGAGTTTGGAAGGCAAATATTCCACAGAGCGATTGGACGAGATAGTCAAAGATATCGAAGAGAAGGGAAAAGAGAGTTCCTTCTATCAGGAATCAAAAATAGATCGAGATCTTCCTAGGGAGGCTGCATTGAAAGCGGCCTTTAAGGACGTCACGAAAGGTATAGAATGAGGAGGAGTAAAATGTTCATACATTCTGTTTTCATGTTTTACTTGCCGCGGGGGCCACCATTTATATTGCATTGTTGCCTTTCCAAGTAGTATACTGTTATTTTTCAATAATTAAAAGATCCTTGGAACTTAGAGAAGCGGGCAAGTCCCCGAAAATGCCCTTCCTTTTTCGTTGGGGGTCACAATCTTCCTTTTTTGGAGGAGATAAACCGGGAAAGCAGATGCAGACAGAAGTCAGGCTCAGAACTAAGAAGGAAGCAAATCCAAACGAAGTCTCATCGGAAGTTTAAAGAACAAAATCTCAAAGGGAAGGATTACAACTACTAAGAAATATGCCATTTGAAGTGATCGGAAGGTTGGAGTAAGTTTCAGTTTACTAGATTCCAGTTTGACTTTTTTGGGAGGAAAGCGGAGATTCCACTTTGAGGAGGAGAGCAAACAGACGAATCTCTGCATCCCGGACCTTGCCATTAGTACATGAGTAGACTGCTTTTGTTCAAAGTTATCTCCTTCTCACCCCTCAACGTCTCGAAAGAAGAGAGAAGGGCTTGTGCACGAATGCGCTGCTAGAATAGGTTGTTAAGGAAGTCAGTCCGTCCCATCCAACGAATAACACTTATATCTATCTCGCACCCTCTTCCCGCCTTGCCTGGCTTCTTAGCCTATCCTGCCCCTCCAGCAGCTAGTAGTTCCATGAGTCAGGGGTTCCGCCCTTCTTTACGTTTACGTGCCTATATCATTATTTACAGCTCTTATAGGCTTTCGGGAGTTTTATCTTGGACACCCATTTGGGATATTTTTCGACAGCCAAGAATCCTGCATCCTATTATTTCTTGACCTCCTCTTTGATTTTCAACAAGATGTCAGGCTTCATCCGACTTAACTTTTGCTTAATTGGCTTGCATTCTAGTCCCTGATAACCTCTTCACCAGCAATGGCCCCTGGAGTGGATGTGAACCCTCGAATGAGGGAGCTACCCACTCTATGGACGGAGGGATGCCAGTGAAATGGGGGACTAAGAACTTCTAGTGAACTGTACCATTTTTTTGAAGTTTCACTATATGTCAGTTGCCACCATCCAGCGTTAGTAACCCTAATGATTGGATAAACGGATGACACACGTTCAGAGTGAACTAGTAATGTTCCGACTGAGTAGTGTGTTTCCTTCATCACTTAGGATTGTAACTGTCCGATGGCAGAGAGTTTTAGAAGATTCTCGGGTACTAAGATCATTTCTATCAAAGGTGATCTTAATACTCACCGATGGTCTGAATAAGGAGATGTGTATTGCCGCCTACTTGTTCGCCAAACAGGTAATCTATTTGGGTCGAAAGAGCGGATATTTACATCTTGCGCTTTATCTTAAGCAGTGTAATACTTGTCTCATGACTGCCTATGGCGGCGTCAATCGACCTAATGGTTCTTTATCTGTCCCTGTCTCTCTAACACGGTCAGGTTATCCTAGGATTATTCCTTCTTTTCACAGAAAGATGATCCTTCGAAAAGATGACCGCGCTGATGTATTAGTGCGTCTTTATTGTTCTTTCTTCAGTTTAGCCTAAATTATAGTATTGGTTAAGCGTGCAGATAAGAAGCTTTTTGAGCCAATCATCAGTCCGGTTAAGGATATGGATAGGGTCCGTGGTCGTGTAAGTCAAGTGAAATGTGACTTAGTTAAGATCATGGACCGTTATCTACCCTGGCTGTCCACCATACCCCTTGAACAAGGGTGTGTGTGGGCTCCGACTTGGAAGGCGTTACCAACTGAGAAGATTGTAACGTCTGTCCTTGTTAACCGTAAGAAAATGGCTTATGAAAAGGTTAAGGCCATAAAATCATCTTTTCTAGCCTTTCCTTATGAGTTAGCGTCATGGACCTTCCTAGTAAGGAATATCCATGCCATGGGGGAACAGTGGTCTCCCGGCATTTTGTGGCCGGTTTACACAAGGTACCCTCGGGGTAAGCTAAATAAGACGATTAGTGGCTTATGCCTTGATTACTTTGAGAAGTATATCGGTCCGGTGCTACCCACTGTTGACCAAATGGGTATTCCGCCTTATACAGGACGACTGGGTCAGAGTTTAGAGGGGGGAGGCAAGAGGAGACTTTTTGCAATAGGGAACTATGTAAACCAACGGTTACTTGCGCCAGTTTATCAAAACAAAAAAAAAGGCTTGCATTCTCATTCTGCTTTAAGAGGCAAGCTGTGGACCACCACGTCTGTGCTGTGTCCAGGCCTGGCATATCTCGATAAGACCATGCGAAGACATCTCGCAATTCTCGAAGTAAGTCGATCCATTTCTGCCGTTCAGCCGCAGAGAGTGAAGTAGCGATCTTGATCTCCTTCCTAGCTTCCTCGCTTTCTAGATTAATCCGTTCAGTTGACTCCTCATGGGGCGGAAGCCCTTTTAAGTAAGGACCTCGAGCCCTATCTGAATGATCATATTGGCTGGGCAACATTTGAATCTGGAGACAAAGCAAAAAGGGAATGAGCAAGCATAGAATCTGATCGAATCAGACCAAGATGAACAGTGGGCCCTATTTTGAGTAAGGGGTGAGAAGGATGCCCTATCTTATCCAAAGATGGTAGCAAGCTCTTCTCTGAATAGGTTCCCAATCCAATGATCATGCCTTCATTCCTTATTAAACACGATATTTATCGAAACCTCTATTATTTACGACTGATTCCGTTCCGCCCTCCCCATGCTGATTGATTTACTTCTTGTTCTAGGACGCTTTCTACTCTTTCTTGTCTGCCCAATGAACTTCCTTCTTCTATATCTTCTTATTTAGGAAGAACGGATTCTTTTATCCATATCCTATTCATGGACCATGCTTAGTTCTATCAAGATCTAGCTCTCCCTCTTCAGAGGCTTCACAGGACAGTCTATGGTCCGTCTTCCTTTCGACCTTATATGGATCCCCTATTATCCAAGCAGTAAGGCCGGCAATGAGAAAATAAAAAAGAAGGGCTCAGTCTTGGGAAAGGTCTTCTTGGCCTGATAGATAGAATGTTTAAGGCCTCTTAGACTTTGCTTAAAGAGGCGGGTCTATCCTATAGTTGAAGGATGTCTTACTTTCTTCCTAAAGTAGCTTCCTACTACGACTCGGACGGAGGAAGACGGATTTCGAGGGGCAGGCTTTCCTGTCCTCCCTTACACGGGGCTCTCTCCCCAAGCAAAGAGAAATGCGGTACCGGCTGCGATCACACGCTGGGCGCAAATCCGAGAATCTTATGCTTCAGCTTAAACGGGGCAAAAGTGGCTATCTGGCACATTAGGGAGGAGGTCTCATCTGAGGAAGGCGGATGATAGGATAGCTCCATTTTATTCAAAGGACTAACGACCCCCTCTTCTAATAGCCAAACCTGTTATCCTTCCCTCTCTTTCTCTCGGGATTCTACATGACACCAACTGCTATGAATATCTCTATTTCAAGACGAATACCTTTTTCTAGGGTTGGTGTGGCTGGCTATGACCTTCTGGGCCTCAGACTGAATGGATAAGAGTTGGCTCCTTTGGTCAGACTATCCCATGCTTTGTCTGGAGGGGCCTCATTTAGGAGCGCTCTTTTCAAAAAACTAGAAATCTCGTAAGAGAAGAAGATAAATCGTTTGAATTCGAGGCGAAACCCCTTTTCCGCCTATGAAAGTTTAAAAAAAGTACCCAAACAAAAGTTCTTTAGTTGGAGTACTTTTTTGCTCTAACCGAAGCTATTGCATCGTTTGCCCCAATGATGGCCTTTCTGATCTCATCCGTATTCCTCTTCCCTTCCTGCTATCTCCTTCGGTCAGATAGTTCTGCTTCCGGTGCCGGAGGAAGGATAGAAGGGTAGTTTCAGAGTTCGAGATGTCTGAGCTTGGAGGTTCCGCTTCTCTAATGTTAGTAACAAGCTGCCCAGACCTTGCCTTGCGTCTTCCTTTGCTGGCTAGATGCGTAAGTGAAGGTTCACGCTTGGGCCCTTGACGAGTACTTTGATTTTAGTTAGACCATAGGCGCTAAAGGGCGGTAAGCCATGAAAGTTCTAGCTAAAGTGCGATATCCGCCGTTCTTTTGCGCTAAAGCAAGAGAAGCCCCCCTTACTTAACATAGGGCGGTAATAGAGGATGCAGCAAAGCAGACTTCGGGCATTAAAACAATATGAGTGAAGTTCCTGTTCTGGAATGAATAAAGAATAAGAATCAAGCCATTGCCAGCCCTTTCCTCATGGAGGGACCAGACGAAGCACGCTGCGCTAGTCGAAACTTTCAGCGGGTGGCATGTGAAACCAACAATCCCATCTGTCCTGTCTAGAGGTCTATGCCCTTTACCACTGCGCTCGACAACTGGGCTTTCGGCAGCTTTTTTTAGTGAAAGCGGGTTATTAAACTCCTAAATTCAGGCAGTGAGCTCGGTTCAGAAACTTGCCTGCATGAATGAATCTTTCGAGACTGCACGGTGCTTTCTAAACCGTCTAAGAAGTGTCTTATGAAGTTAGCGACTATGCTTTCGTTTTCGGGATTGGATTAAAAAAGAAAGTCCGCTCTCGTCGCTGTCACTAATTTCTTTTTTAGTAAATAGGGCCTCCTTTCTCGGCCAGTTCGTACTTCGAAACTATTTATGAGAAATCCTGTCCCTTAGGTTATTCGATTGGAGTTTATCGATCTGGTAAAAAAAAAGCCTTTTTGTCTTAGTTTCGAAGTCTGACTTTCTTTCTGGGTATGAGCACCTGGTCTTAATTGTGAACGAATAATCCGAGCAATATATGTCCCCGGTCAGGAAAGAAATTTCTTTTCATCAGTATCCAGGGCGGAGGGTGTTTTAGGTGAAAGGTGAATCGGCCCAGAACTCTTTCTATTTGGACTAAGGGGCTCGGTTGGATTTCAAAGCAGCTGCTCTCCTACGAAGTATAGGGCACTCGTTCTTGTCAATGGTCACAGCTCGTGCAGTAAGTAGAAAAGCGTGGTTTGGCAGGAAGTGCAGTAGGTGAAGAAGTCCCAGCACGAGAGGTAGCAGCACACAGTGTCATTGTTGGGCAAAGCAGGACTAAGGGAATGCTTGCCTGTCTCTTCAGCCATAAGTTGTTCTGATAAGACGGAGGAAGAGGATTTCGATACAAGAGCGAACATTCTTTCGATTGCATGTGTTAAGCAAAGCACGCACAATTGAACAAAAGAAAGAAGATCAAAGAGCTCTCCTCAATAGTCAGATAGGATCGTAGGCGTACGGTGACCGGCTTCGCGAGACCTTATCGGTCTACTCAAGGCGTTGCTCTATTGGGCGCAGCTTTCTTGATCTAGCTTTCTGACTAACTGAATAGGCTCTTGTCAATTCTTTCTTCTCTTAATAAAATTCGAGTTTGTGAGATTGATCACTCCTAAATGCAGCCGTGATCTTCTATACGATAAATCGCCATCTCGTAGCACCACAGCCTGGGAAACCTCTTATCCTCTACCTTACCTCGAAAAAAAAATCTATTGGTGGATTATTGTCTCAGGAGGTAGATGGAGTGGAATAGGGCTACTCCACCTGACTCACGGTCGCTCCACGGGAAACCACCACTAGGAGACGAAGCAAGCCGAGGGTTTCGAGGCAGATATCGCCATGACACGGTAGTAGGGAAACCGGTCCTTGTAAGCAGCACTAGAGAGGGGATAGAGACTCGAGACTTCAAACTAATGTCCTTCTTCCTCTGAGCCAGGTTCCTTGTAGAGTCTATCTACTAGAGACATTAACGGTGCTCACCCGGTTGGGAAAATTCAATACTCGAATTGAACTATTAGTTATTTCTTTTTTATTTTATTTCCATCTACACTTTTTTTGTATCTATGTGTATTAGATATGTAGTGCCAATTCAACACAAGTTTTTCTTTTTTTTTTAAAAAAACATTGGGTGGCTAAGAAAGACATGAATTGAGATTGGGAATGCTCTTCCAGCTGATAAACGAGATCTTGGCGCCCTTACATACAGTGGGTAATCGAATTTGAGTCTCATTTTGACTTCCATCCACTGCAAGAGAACTTCCTGTAAGAGTGGTTAATATAGTGCTAGCGAGTCTTTCATAATGGGATTTGTAGCAGTAGTTGATAGCCCAGTCCGGGGATAATAAACATAGTATACGTCCCCCAGTGCATTTCGTAGACTGACTAGGACCTTCCCTTGATCTGAAGGGCTATTCTTATCAGTGCTTCCCCATTTATTTTATAAGGCGAAAGCTCTTTAGAAAAGGAGGTTAAATGAAATCCTTGAGTCTTTGAAATAAAGCACTGCTGAAGAGGGCTTTCTTGTCTCGCATTCTAGTACTGATACTGACACCTCGCTGGTACCGAGGACAAAGGCGTGCTGAAGGGAACAAATGGCTTTCCGGAACCCTTCTTTTTCGTGCCCCATCCTCCAATGGTGCATTCACTCCCGCCCTTAAGAGTTATTGCTTCAAGTTAACTTGCCTTGCTAATGCTAGCTTGCCTTCTATTATTACTGTCCAGAGCGGGGAAGAAGCACTACTGAAGGTCATTACTGTGACGTCTTATCGATCTTTCTTTTTGTCTAAAAGGCCTCTAGAAAGCCCGCGAGTTCTTCCTCCTTGATTCGTTCGTTGGTCACTCACTCTCTTTAGAGTCGTTTAACACCCAGACTTTAAGGTTGCTTGCAAAGAGGGAAGGTTTCTTTATCACAGTCACCGAGACCGAAGCGGAAGGGGAGATCTTGGTTTAGCCATTCACTATCGAAGCGAAAGTCAAGCCACCAACCATCGAACCGATATTGATTGACCTACTAACCGGAGAGTCGAGAGACAGAGACAGACCAACCAACTAAATAAGAGATCTCCGGGGTACAGTTACCAAGCCAGCAGGAGGGCAAGGCATAGAGTCAATCAAGATAGCCAGGAATTGGCTATTGGCTACAGACACGGGAAGTTACTGCACGACCTTTAGAGTTGGGAAAAGACTCACCAGGGTAAGAAAGGCACCTTAGGCACTTTAGAAAGATTATTGGGGAGGAAGGTTTCTCAATTCGACATCGCCTGCTCCCTATCCCGATTCATGTGAAGCTTTTTCTTTCACAAGCGATTCTGTTCTGTCTGTGTGGCTATCTTAACTACTGATGAAATGAATCTTCACCTCCCTCCCAGCTTGCATTCTTTGCCATCTTCTTTGACTATTTTGGCTATTGGATTAAGCCCATCCATCTTCGAGGAGAGATTGCCTTCCTTCCTAGGAAATTCCCAAGACCAAGAGCAGTTCTTTCGACAGCTAGGTTCATTTTTTTTCAAAAACCTCCCCTTGGCCAAAGGTAATATAAAGATCCGCCCAGCCGGACGAGGACTGTGTTTTCGGGAACCTCTGAGCTTATAGGTTTACCACGGAAGTGGAATCCACCGATAAAAGAGACCTCTCGTGTCCGTCTTTGTAGACGATCTTGGCTTCTTGCTTCAAAGCACAGGAACCAACTGAGGCAAGCGGCTTGCCGAAGAGGTGAAGCTGGGAACAGAGATCCTAGGGGTACCCAAGGGGGCAGCGACTTTACCGGGGAAGGTCGAGTCGTGAGAAATGCCCCCCAGGAATTGATAGGCTTGTTCCGAATATGCCGCTGAATTGAAATCAGTCTCTTTCCTCCCTCGTGCCATACGTGGGGTTCTTTCAATGAGCGAAGAACAATCAAGGGGATCCTCCCAGTCGGACTCTACCAGCTGGGCCAGTGTATTCGGGAACCTATGGGGATACACAGATAACACAGTGCCGATAGGGCAAAGGATGCTTTCCACATTCCCTTTTAATCTTCCTTCCTGAAGATCAGACGAAAGGGCAGCTAAGAATAGCGTGAGTCCCATCTGAGAATAGACTGGAGGTCTAGGGAATTATTCCACTGACCGAAATTGCTGGGCCTATGGAATTCATACTGTATTCCGATTCCGGAAAAGCGGTCCGGTAAAGGCTCTAGTCAAAGTGTGCCCTACGTACGCCTGTATTGTTCACGGGGTTTAGTTTGCTTTCTAAAATAAAAGTTCAATCGCCGTACCCTATATAAGTTTGATTTCCGAAGTTGGCTACAGGCACCAAAGCTATTCGAGTACTTAGCCAAGGAAGTCGATCGAAAGAAAGGAATCTCCGAAAGGCCTTCGCCAGACTTTAGGGTCATACTGCTTATGGACCTTGCAAAGGGAAGAGGCAGTATGAACATTGTCAGGGTTGGGGGTGGCCTTTGTCGTTTTTCAAGAGAATAGGGAATTTAACCCGCAGCACGCGCATAAAGGAATAAAACCTAGGAAAGCTTTCTAACTTCCGTGCGCGAGGCTAGGGGGTTGTTGGGAAGTTCTATATCTTTGAAGTGGGAATGGTCAAATTGAGAGGCCAATCCCCTGGAAAAGACCAAGTTTAGAAGGAAAAGGACAGAGAGACAGGCCGCGGTTAAATACTTACTATAACTAATAAGGGACAAAGGCAAGGATCAGAGAAGAGTTTACTAGAAAGCAATGGTTTTCTATCCCCTAGCTTTAGAGCTGGAAGTGAATGGCTATCCTCTTTCTAATCTTACTTTCTAAGAGATTCACTCATAAGACAAGGGACTACTGGCATTTCTGCCTTAGCCATATCAGCTAACTGAAATTCTTCCTGAAAACAGACTTTTTGAACAAATCATGCGAACGACCCAAGCAGATGTTATCAACTTAAGTTGACTTAGCAGAAGGGAAAGACAAAGCTTTCAGTTCACCATCTTTATTGGCACTTCTCAAATGAATAAAAGTAGCAATGTGCCCTTCTGTCCTTTCTTTGAGTTGGAGCTAGCCTAGGTTGAGGTGGCATCTCTCGAATAAGAGTAGCGGTGGGGAAGACATAGATTGACGGAATGAGGGGCAAAGCTATTCGACCGATTAGATTAGGGAGAGGGATTGATGCTCGACCAGTAGTAGCTATCGGAGTTTTGGAATTCCGTTAAAGGAAAGCTTCTGAGAGTGGAGGTGGCACTCGACCGATAGGGATAGGGAGAGAAGAAAGAAAGAGAACCGCACCTTATTAAGCCGAGGGGAATCTCATAAGGGATTAATCTCATTGAATCTTCCTCTTTCAAGGAGAGGCGCGGAAAACTGCTCGACTATACTATAAAGGATAGGAGCACAGAATAAGTAGCGGAAGCAGACAATAGAACAGCTGCTAGAAGCTCGACAAAGAGGTATGAGTTTCACTGCGAACTTCTTCCTTTAGCAGATAGCTCCGTTTTGAGACTAATAGGAGTGTAAAACAGCTCTTTCTTCTCCCTGAGGGTAACAGTTGGGGTGGGGAACTTCCCGAAACTGGGGACATAACCTAAATCATAGCTACGCTAAGTATATTTCTCTGAAGTAGATGAAGTAGTTAGGAATGCAGATGTCAATTGCTCGACTGGTTTTGAAGACATGGCATAAAGCGAAACCGCTAGATTCGCTGCAATAGAATCAGCCGCGGGGATTCACCTGAGAGAGAATCCGCTGTTAGATAAGCTGCTGTATCAGCTGCTAGACAAAAGAAAGGGAGATGGGATAAGACCAATAGGATAGGGATGTCGCATATCGGGTGAAATCTATCTGTATGTCGCATATACGCTGTATCATCTCCGATGTAGCATATAGTTAACAGCTGATAAGCGACAGCGGATTTGCTACAACTCATCTGCGAAAACAAATCGAATATCGTATATAATATAATCACAGAAAACTCATATCCGCTGTTCTATGCCGATAGGTTACTTCGATGTGCCTTGCTTGCCTTTCTTTGTGCATCTTTCTTTCTCCCATGCTTTCCGTTGGTCAACAACCAAAAAAAGGTAAATATCATGATTGGGTCGACTCGACCAGCCCGTCAGTCAGACCGGACTCAACTTGGAAGAGATGCTCTAAGAGCTACGTACCATGCCTTGAATGCCTACGTAAAACCTCACATGAAAGCACATTACACAAGGTCACCCGATGCTACACAGCGAAAAGAGGCCTTCAAAGCCCAATCTCATTGAAAGAGGAAAGCTGGTAAGCCAGTGAACTTCCTTCTTTGCTGAATAAAGGAATGAACCATGGGGTAACCTAACTCGGCGCCTTACCCTCCACCCTCCCTAGCCCATACCCTAGTCCGGTTCAGTTCTGTCTTCTATTCATCTCTCCCTGAGCTAAAAGAAAAACTAGCAGCTTCGCTAGCCTAAGATGGTGCCTTACCTTTCTTCAGCTTGTAACCGGATTGCTACTGGTTTGCTGGCAAAGCATTCTCTCTTTTTCTCACATCTCCACTCTTGATCTTTCTTTGCTTAAAACACAGGAGAGCTAACTCGATGATCGACCAAGCCATTTCACTAGAGGTAAGTAGAATGTTTAAAAACCGAAAAGGTAAGACAGTCATCTCACACGCCTAGCTAGAGCTTTCCTGGGATGAACGAAAGCATAGAGTTTAGCTAAGTTACTAGTTAGGAAGGAAGACCAGGCTCAGGTGAAATTGTAGATCTTTGGTTTTGTAAAAGGAATATATTCATTTTACTATCTTAGCGAGTCACGAAGCTAGAAGGACGCTAGGGTCTTTGCTGCTCTTAAAGAATGATTAGTCTTAAATGTAACGAATTCTATTCTACCCTTAGCTTACTTTGTACTTAAGACATAAAAGAATTTTTCGAGCCGAGCCAAGGTTCTGGTTCTGTCATTCAGACAGTTTGGGAGATCAGATCATGAATCCTGATCTTTCTCTTTATATAAAGTAATTCTTGTATTGACATTCTCTTTATCTGTCTCATTGTCATTAAAGAGAAGAGATGAAACTGTCATCTTAACATACCAGTTACAAAGCTTCCAGGTATCTTAGTCCTTGATCTGATCTCCTTCTGACTTAGCCTGTCTTAACACTTCTCATGTGTAAAAGTGATCTCCGCTCCTCTATCACAGGTTTTTTTGACAGAGAGAATCACTCGGTCTTCTAGACCTATCCTTGACATGAGAACTTGTCTCACATAGGAATTGATGGAAAGTGGACACCATGGAAAGAGAGCTTTATAAAAGAATATAAGATATGTGCTTCGGCCTTACCAGCAGCTGAACCACCCAAAGAGTCCAATTTCTTTTATTTAATAGCTTAGCTAGCTTATCTAATCTAATCTAATGGGGAAAGGGAGCGACCTTTACGCGCCGTCACACAAGGGAAGTGACTCCGAAATGAGCTGAGATCGAAGACGAGCCTTCTCCAGGCCCCTAACAGGAAAGGAAGCCGGCTGTTAACTAGTAACCCGCCTCCTTGAGTGCCTTTAAGCAGGTACTGACCCGGATATGACCTCGTGAGCCCCGAATGGGTAGTCTATCCCTAAACCTCTCAACGAGCATGTCTCTCCTGGCCTCTTCCCTACTGACTCGCAGTATCACTGGGCTCCCCCGTCCTACCTTTGGATAAGACCTTCCTTAATCCCGACGCTGCCCGCCCTGAGCGCTACGCTCTTTTTTCCGCCCTATTCATTACATCCTAGCTCGGATGAAGAACCTTACCTCCTCTCGTAGGGTTACTCCGCCCTTTGGCTGCCGATTTCGTTTGTGTTCCATGGCAGGCGTCCTCTGTTCGTCGACTGGCAATCAGTTACCACCCCTTGACCGGGTCCCAAGTAGCACAAGACGACCCAGGAGGACGGCCCTAATTTAAGGAAGCGATCCTGACCTAACCTCCAACGCTCTCATAATGATTATAGGACTTATCTTATCCAAGCCTCTGAGGTAAGACTTCTTTGGTAGGGATGGAACTCAATTCCTACTTAGAGTCGTTTCATCAGGAACGGAACTAGTAATATAAGAAGAAGATTGCGTAGCCATCATACGGTCGGGGGAAGACTATCACTGACCAAGCTTCTTTACACTTACCTTTCTTCTGGTCTCACGAATTGGATTTGAAGCTACTTCTTATTGAAGATTGGATCGAGCTGGAAAGCATTCCTTTCAAGTGGGAAGATCAGCTACAATCTACTACATAAGGTGGCAGCAGATAGAATTGTGCTGGAAGAAGCTATGCTACCCCTGACTCTCAACCTGGAACAACAACCATGGCATTCTCTCCTAGATCACTGAGTTTCATTGATGACAAAAAAACGGGCTTTCCTCAAACGATTGGAACAAGAATAGGTTCTTCTCTCTTTGAATCGTATCATCCATGGCGCCGATATAAGATCACGGCCGCATTTAGGAAGGATCTTTCCCTCTAACTAATAATTTCATATCATAAGAGAAGAAAGATCGTAGCCTAGAGAGAGTCTACATAAGGTGCTTTCGGGTTCTAATTGTTTTTCTTCTCCTTTCTCACGTTCACGCTTTATAAACAAACTGACTATTGGCTATGGTCAGTAGAAAAAGAAGTTCTCTTCCATGCATCGAGATTGGGTAGGTGTTCAGTGTACCTGAAGATTTTTATTGGTAGAGTACAAAAGCTTTCCCTTCAATAGCCTTAGG